CCCCCCCGCCCCACATGGTTAAATCCTTTCTGTTTCTTACCTGCTGGTCATCCTTGCCATGTTTGGGTGGAAAGGGTGGAAGGCAGGAACGAGGCAGGCCATGCAAGGGGGGGGGGCTGGACCATAGGTAGGATTTCTGTTCCCTTGTCCCTTTCTGTTTCAAGGTCATTAGGCGCATCCCTCCATCCTGAAATCGTCCTGTTTCTTTTTTCTATCAAAATGCATGGTGTTGCTTTGTTTTGTTTTTTTGTCATGCTCGGATAACAGCTATTATAGGACAGACTTAAGCTGTTTCCTCTTTACTCTAGAAAAGACTTGCAATTTCAGCCTGGGCCTCAGCGGAAGCAGTCGATTTCCACGGCCGGCATCCCATTCTGCTCCCCAATTGTTTCTTTGTGCCAGCATGGATATGACCGTTACATACCTTTGATTGTCATGGTTTCATGCTTCTTCTTCTTCTTTTTCCTGCTTGGAAATTTAATTTCTTCCACCCGGATCCTAGCTATACACAGCCAAATTGTGTTGTCTGTTATCTCTGAGCCGACAGCTCAGCCCGGACTTCTTTGGAAAGGCTAGATCATATAAAACAGCCCATCATTAGCCTTTCGGGCACAATATGGGATTCCCTTCCCCTATTCCTGCCAAAGAATACCTCGTGAATCAGATTGGTGTTTTATGATTGCAGTTGCATGTCTTTTCTTGCAGTTGCAATCATAAACATGAGAGAACTGGTAAAATGTAGAACACGTGGGCGCGCATAACATGCACCCATCAGATCTAGATGCAACTCTCGTGGCCACTTATGCCCAGCCGGCAGCGGCCCAGGGTGTCTCCTGTGTTTTGGCTTGCAAAGACACCCAGCAGGCTACAATATATACAGTGGACCCTCTACTTACAGAATTAATCCGTAATGGAACAGTGGCTGCAGGTCGAAAAGTCTGTAGGTCGAGTCTCCGTTGACCTACAATGCATTGAAAACCAATTAATCCCGTAATCGGCCATTTTTGTTCCATTTTTGTTCCATTTTGGTTTTTTTCTGGTCTGTAGGTCGATTCTCAGGCTGCAAGTCGAACCTAAATTTTGCAGCCAGAGAAGTCTGTAATTCGAAAAGTCTCTAAGTCGAGCCGTGTGTAAGTTGAGGGTCCACTGTATATAGCTCGTAGCAGATGGCACTTTGCTGAGCTACAATATATAGCTCGTAGCAGATGGCACTTTGCTTGGTGGGGTTCGATTGATCCTACCTCAACAACTGAGATTTTCTTTCATTCACCTAGTAAAAGGGTGCAGGCCCTGTTGAAAACTTGGCCCAGGATGGATCTCCATGAGCTTTCTGTTAGCTTCTGCAATGTTGGCTTCGGCAAGCAATTTCCTGCCTTCAGACAGTCCCAGGAGCTGCTGTTTTGCTGACATCTGTGAATAAGTCTGGTGCACAACCGCCAAGGAAGAAAACTGGGCAGAGTGATATTGTGCTGTCACTGAAATGAGCCAGCAGAGCTAACCATTTAGGCTTGGAATCAAAGAGTGGTATCATATCTTGTATTTATGTGAATGTAGTAAAATGAAGGCAGGGTGAATTGGTGCCTGCATTTTCCCAAAATGGTAAAGTTGGGTTTTTTTCAGAAACACAGCTTCTCACCTGTGAGCAGCGAGTATGGTGGCGCAGACTGCTCAAGTCCTCCCGTTGGGTTCTTTTCGGCAAATAGGAACAGAGAAAACTGAGGAGGAACTTACTAAGACTGAAAAACTTTATTGCTGCATATTAACTAGGACTCCTCTTAACAAACCAGAGTTCACAGTGGGCTTCCAGATTCAGGCTTCTTTGTGAGAAAGAAGATTTCGTTTAGACTTTAGGAAGAAATTCTTGATAGTCGGAGCTGTTGGTTCATTCTAGGTTTTCAGACAGAGGTTAGAGGGCCACGTGTCAGGAAAGCTTTCGCTGTGGGTTGGAATGGATGGCCCTCGGGGGTCCCTTTCAGCTCTATGATTCTTAGTGGAATGGCAATCCAGGTAAATAGGAGATTTCTGCATTTGCTTGGATAGTTGAATGATTAATTGTTTGGAGGTGGTGACCAGAAATGAACGGCTAAAGGTCTGGATCGGGAAAGTATCGTGTGTGGAAAACATGGAATGGTTACAATTAGAAAATTTGGTGAGAATTAGAAATAGTAGGCTATAACTGTTTTTGAAACTGGTTGACCCCACTGTTCTTTTTAAAAACCAGACACACAGGAAAAGTGGGAGGCAGCAGGAAAGGAGAAAGACCCAATAGAAGATGGACTGACTCCCTAAAGGAAACCACAAGCTTGGATCTCCAAGATCTGAGCAGGGCTGTAGAGGAGAGGAGAGATTTCAGAGATTCCTCATTCATAAGGTCGCTGTAAGTTGGAGGTGACTTGACAGTATTTAACTACAACAGATATATGGATTATTAAGAAAGATCTTGACATCTTTGTACTCAAGCAACCATTGCTGAACTAGAGAATAGTGCTTATATCTGTTGAAAATAAATGTAAAACATGAAATATAAAGTATATGATAAACATTCATCTTGTTTTGTTTTATGCTGGCTATGGATATGTTATTTGAAATATTAAAATCATACAGCTATCTTATACAGGGGGTGCTCCATCATGCCCTGTGTTAAGATTCAGTATCTTCTACTTTCTATGGCTAAATATCTTTTTTTTCCCTTCAAACTAAAATGTGGTTAGCTTCTGAAGAAATCTCATTCAGTTGAGAGTGGATTGGACACTTTGACTAAGCCGCTTGTTCTGTCACAGGCCTCCCTGAATAATTAGCAAGTTTTTCTTAATCCAAAATCTTGCTCTTTCACCACTAACCGGCGTGGTCCAACAGCCGCTAGTGGGCCTTAAAAGTTTCAGTTTTCTGAATGCGACAGCTGCCTTCAGATTATCATCCTCTGATGTATGGCAGCAGATTAGCATCCTTAAATTCAGAATCTCAGCCATTTCATCCTCTCCCCCTCCCAAAAGTAATTTGGACTGTACTTGACAATATGCATGCTTGCATGACATGGGAAGGGGGGTTGTAAATAAGTTCTTTCCACCTTTCATAATATCGCCCCCAAGATCCAAGACAGAAGACCCAAAATAGATAAAAAGAAATATTTCTTTACCCTGGACATTGTGAAATTGGCATTTGCTGATTCAAGATATATTGATGGCTACCAAGTTGATCAGCTTCAAATGGAGAATAAGCAAACAGATGGAGGTTAATTATTAATAATAATGATTACTGGTGGCTGCTGTAGCTCAGTGGTTTTGTTGTTTGGCTCTGGAGCCAAAGGTTGGGAGTTCATGCATCAGAAGAGCCAGCCTGGGTAGCCTTGGGCAACCTGCACAGTCCCAGGGGGGCCCCAGAAGAAGGGAATAGTCAACCACGTCTTGAGTGCCCGCTATCTAGGAAACCCTGGGGAAGATTGCCGTAGGTTGGAATCAACTTGATGGCATGCAGTATTGTTATTAATCACCAGCTGCTTGGGAGGATGTGCAGGAGACCCCTCAAGCCCTGCTTGGGGATTCCCAGACACATTGAGTTGACCATTGTGGGAATCTGAATGTTGGCCAGGAAAGGGCTTTGGTCTAATGTGGTCTAGATGAGATCTTCCTATGTTTTTAAGTTCTCATCTTTTCTTGCTCTAATCTCTCCCCCACTCTCTGTTCCTTAAATTTTCATTTTAAGTTTCTTGGGATAGCGATCCATGTTTGTTCTCTACAGCACTGATCACACAGTTGGTTGTACATGATTTATAATTTGTGAAATATTAGTTTATCTGATGTGACCCAAATACTGCTGAAAGAGTTGACGGAAAAGAACTTTAAAATTTACTGCAATCAGAAATCTTGTCTGCCAGGTCCAGCATTCCCCTGTGTATCATCCTGTATTGAGGGCACTGTTGACCTGTAGAAGATCTGCTCAGCTTATATATTGGTGTAAATTTCTTTCCTGGTGCTTTGAGAAGTGTCTTTCCTTAAATAACTCTCTTGCAAAAGGCTGCATGAAACCATTTCTTCTTTTTGAGACCCTTTGTGCACGGCAGGAGAGGAAGCTCAACACGTTCCGTATGTGTTGCCTCTGAAACATCTTTGGTATCACCTGGCAGGAGAAAGTTCTAAATAGAGTAGTCCTAGAATGAGCTGGAATTCTTACCATGTATACACTACTGAAACAGCGACGTCTATGTTGGCTTGGGCATGTCATGAGAACGGCTGATGGTCGGATTCCAAAAGATCTCCTGTATGGAGAATGAGTGCAGGGAAATCACCCCAGAGGGAGACCCTCTCGAATTGGCCTCCTCAGCCACACTAGATGCTGTTCCAAGACCTCTATTCAGAGCACGTGACCGTCATCTCTTGAGACTGAAGGATGGCTGCACGTATCCCCTCCCTCCACTCTGTTGCTCTGAGTTGGCTATGAAAAGGACTGTAGAAAAGCTTTGCTTCCTTTTTCAGTTAGTGAAAGATGAACATTGTGTACAGATCCTGAACATGATTATTGACACATGGTTAATTTTAACAACAATTTGTTGAAGCAATGCAGTTTCCTAAACTATGGCTAAAGTTGACTCATTTCAGCTACCTAGTTTAAGCCATTTACAG